CCAAGCAAGCTCCTACGAAGAAGAACAACAGCAAGAAGTACAAGTCTACTCGCAACAACGACCACTCTTCAAGAACGAAGAAAATGTGCGACTACACGAGTCCAGCACTCACAACACTGCTGACTGCATGACTTTGAAGAAGCTCAATGGCAAGTCTCAATCCTCGTCTGACAACGATAAACAGCCAGGTACAACAAGAACAAACTTGGAAACGCAAGTCCGACGACGCCAAGACCTACACCAAGAAAGAACTCTCTGTCCTCATAAGAAAGTTTCCAACGCTCGTCAAGGCTGATCGCAAAAGAAAAGCGAATGCAACCATGTTGCCAAGCGCAAGTCTGACAACTCCGACAAGCGAGGACGACTCCTCTGTTGGATCCATCAACATGATGGACAAAAGAAATGGCTGCTGTTGACAAGGCGCTTGCCGAATTTGACTTCAATCATTGGAGGAGAGATCTACGTCTGAGGATTAGGCCAGGATGATGATTCAACGGAACCATGTTCCGATTTCTCATACCTAAGTTGATTAAGATATCTCACTAATAGTAAACAAGATTTGTTTCAACTAACGAAGTCTACGGCAAATTAGATAATTGCCTAGCAACTACTCAAATAGACGCTGACGATCTGTTCAGCATCGTTAGCTTCGTTCAGGCCAATCAACTCATCAACGTCGCAAGGCAAGAGACCTCAAAACTATAGTCTATGTTAGATTTACAGACGAGTGAAAAGGAAACGAAAACCCGTTACACTCTGTTGCTTACTGGATAACGAAGCATCCGGAACCTTAAATACTCAAACTCATGCTAAGAATTTACTCATAAGAATCATGGGGGCGTCCAAACATTACGGACTGCTCCTATGAAGGAATCGAAACCCCGCACGAAGTGTAAGGGCACACTCGTGATTCCTGAGTTCCACGATGATAGAATTATCGGATGGAATTTACACGTCACCAAGAACTTGGGGGCGCAAGACGTGATCATAGGTCATGACACTCTCTGCGACCTAAGAATCAAGTTTGATTTCACTACCATGTCATTGGGGTGGAACACTGTCAGCGACACTGCAGACAGTCTCAAGAAGATTCTTGATACAACATAACGAACAAATAGACTTAAGGCAGATGTGCCAGAGTCGAAACCCGTTAAATAAGGAAGAGCAAGAACTGCTTCATGCCTTTTCAACCAAGTGCTTCGACCCAGTCGAGGATACTTTGGGAGAGTTGCGAATGGACGACTACGAGGTAGAACTTCGTCCCGACGCTAAATCCTATTATACTAGGGCTCACCCTACTCCACGAGTCCATACCAACACTCTTAAAAAGGAGGGTTGAACGTCTCTGCGAGGCAGGAGTACTCAAGAAGGTGAATCGTTCCGAGTGGGCGGCACCAACTTTTATCATCCCAAGAAAGAGGATCTGTACGATTCATCTCTGATTTCCAGGAACCGAACAAAAGGATCAAGCGGAAGCCTTATCCTATCCCAAAAATACAGGACATGCTCTTGAACCCAGATGGATTCAAGTGCGCTACTAGTCTAGACCTGAACACGCGACACTACCACATCGAGCTGTCACATCACTCGAAGCAACACATGCCATCACTCCCGAAGGGAAAGCACGAGTACCAGAGGTTGCCAATGGGCCTATGTAATAGTCCCGACACCTTCCAAGAGAAGATGAAAACACGCCTGCATGACTTAGAAAATGTCCGTGCATACATTGATGATCAACTCATCCTAACGGACGTCGATCTCGCAGATCGCGTTGAATAGTAGGATGACCTTTTCCAAAGACTTCAAGAAGTCGGGATTGAAATCAACACTACCAAGGCCTTCCTCGATAGGAAGAACTGGAGTATCTAGACAATTGGACTTCTCGAGAAGGAAGCCAACCCTTAACCAAAAAAGATAATAGATGCGATCAGCTATCGCTCTTCCCACCAACTGAAGGAGAAACTTCGTAGATTCATTGGAAAATGAACTACCAAGGCTGCTCCAAGACAGCAGACGGAGTAACCATCGTTCTGAAACAGACGTTGGTTACCCAGTATCCATGACGCGAGGTGTCATGGACAGAGAACGTGAGTCCCGCGTAGAGGTCGAGAAGACTCTCCGGGATGAACATGGACTTCGCCGCAAGTTCACGCGCGTCAATCGTGACAAGACTCACCACATCCGTTTCAAAGCAAACCGGAAATACATTAAGGAACGTCGCCAACGACTTATCCAGAAAAACACCGATAGGGAGAACACGGCACGTGTCCTCATCAACACCATGTCAACGATACTATGATGATTCATCAGTATCAGAACCGTTCGTACGGTCAGCCCACGCACAAAGGTCCTTACCACACAGACCGAGTCAATAACAATGGCACTGTACGGCTCCGACATACTACCGCCAGTAGCGGCACAGTCTACCAGACTTGGAACATAAGGTATTTACACCCATACAAGGCCTGATCCCCTTGTAGGATTGCCATCGTGCGACGCACATGTCTACATCCAATCTCCGGAGAGTGCCCCGCACTTTAATCAAATGTTCTCCTTGTCCGACTGATGTCGTGCCTTCCGTGACCCTTGTCAGGGGCGAATGCAATACACGGCTCTTAGCCTTATTCGCGACTCGATCCTAGATAGGGTTTGAGTTCGACTCATGACTGAGTCTCTCGTGAATAGTCATTGAGACAGGGTTCTCAATGACCGCTCTAGTCATACTAGGTGATGATGAAACATCGCTCTAGATATTTAGCCAGCGTGGAGTACTTCCACGCTATCTAGATAAATGCTAGACGAATCTTCCACCGTTCCGTTTTTTGGATCGTGGAGTGAGTAGGATTGCTACCGCAACCTACTCTATCACACTCTACAGTTCCCGCGCGGGGTTCAGATCTACGATCCTTTGGTTGTGATCTCTCTCGTTGATTAGTTTTTCATAGCTTTGTAATCCTCTCATAACTTTCATTCTCTCAAACTCAAAACACTCGAAAGATCTTTACACTAGCTTTTAGCGTCTACCGCAACCTACTCTATCACACTCTACAGTCTCCCGCGGAGTTCAGATCTACGATCCTTTGGTTGTGGATCCTCTCTCGTTGATTAGTTTTCATAGCTTTCTAATCCTCTCATAACTTTCATTCTCTCAAACTCAAAACACTCGAAAGATCTTTACACTAGCTTTTAGCGTCTACCGCAACCTACTCTATCACACTCTACAGTCTCCCGCGGGAGTTCAGATCTACGATCCTTTGGTTGTGGATCTCTCTCGTGATTAGTTTTCATAGCTTTCTAATCCTCTCATAACTTTCATTCTCTCAAACTCAAAAACACTCGAAAGATCTAGATCTTTACACTAGCTTTTAGCGTAGTGCAGTGGACCTTTCAACCTACCGGTACCAGTTGGTACCGGCGATGGAGGTGCGAGTTCCACTCATTCATTCGACACTCCAATTGGCTGAGGCTTGATAGCAGGTACCGGTAGGGTACCAGTATGGTAGGGGTGCGATCGATCGATTGCTTTGGATAAATCCGATTGACTGAGGATTGCTGCCTAGTTGACAGCACCGTATCAGTGCATGAAGCGGTGCAGCCCGATCCACTCAGTCACTTGTTCAGCCAGCCTATCCACTGCTGCTGGTCTACTACTGGAAGAGTAGAGAGAGGATCCAAAGGTTTGTACAAGAGGATTTGAGAATTCGTGCAAGAGGCTCCTGTGCATGTTGCAGTACCGGAAGGAACTATCTCTCTCATCCCATTATCTCTCCACGATAAAGACCACACTCTCGGATCAGCATCAACAATGACAATGAGGAATGTCAGCTACGGTACAGGGATAATGAGAGCCAACGAGCCATTCCCCATCCCCATACAAATGGCAAACATACTCTGGCCAAAGAAGGATCCAACAGTTTCGTCGTGGTAGCTTATCCACTCCACATTCGATCATTATCCGCCACACAGCTGACACACCCAGCCACTGCCATTATCTCTCCACACTGAGTCAAAATTGACAATGATGAGGATACTAAAACAAACATCATCATCTGCTACCATACTGGTAGCTCTAGCTAGCTATTAATAGTGCATGTATCTTTGTTTGGCATGGTGAACACCAGCATGATCCAATGATCCAGCTTGTTGCTTGCAGGCAACCAAATTCATAAATAGCTGGCCAATTTTCTTCTCTTAGCTTTTTCAAAGCTTTACCAATCATATTTTGTCATGGCAACATAAAAGGGTGTACAATCAATACTTGTATGCTTTACCATGGCTGTGCCAACATGCTGAAAAGCCACCGGATGAACTCTGCAAAAAAGGCTTCTTGTACTGATTTAATACAAGGAAGTATTGCCAAAAAATGTTTCATCTAGCCCCCTTTGAAACCCCCAAAATTAAGTCGTGAGGAAACCTCACGGATGAACCGCAGATATTTTAAAAGGCATACACGTTGCACCCAAGCACTTGCTGCGCAGCTTAGACGGGTAGCAGCTGGCTCTAAACAATTGTGCTCCAATTTCCTCGTTAATTCTGTTTGGTTCTGAGAGTTAGATACATTCTGATACCGGTACACGAAGAGTATTCAAGAGGCGAACCAGTAGCTCCCCTGTCCAGCGGTACGATGCTCAAGATGACAGGTTCAAAAGGTACCGGTGTACGGGACAGTGGTACTCAGTACGATACCAAAACGAAGGTAAATCAGTACCGGTAATAGTGCTCCCAGCCAGTTCTCTGGCTTGGATACTAGTACTTCGTCGGCATGTAGTACTATGGTGTTTGGGGGTTGCTCTTTGTGGGGGCTTTGTCCGTGGAAAGAATGCTTCTGCCGTCAATGGACTTCAAGAAAGGAACATGGAGCATCCACAGTAGCTAGATGTAAATATTTGAGAGAAAACAACAGTCTTTGGTGGAAACTCGCCAGCCTAGCTCTAGCTGCCTGCGATCCAAGGGTAGCTACCTGGTACTGTACTAGCTAGTAGCTCCAACAGTATCTCAACACTGATAGGGCGGTGAAGCCTGGAACCCACTTCAGCTTCATTCTGATGAAGTTGACTTGGTTCTTTAGGGAACAACTAACTAACTACTTTTTAAAAAGTATCCATGTAAAGAAATGTAACACCACAAGCAGCAGCACTGCTCCAGGAGTACGGGCAAAAGCAGAGTGGCAAGAGCCTGCATTCTCCAACGACCCTCAAACTGTGACTGTTTGACATTCCTCGCCAACCTTGATATCCTCTTCCTGTGCTTCTGAAACTGCAGCCCCCATCGGAGCAGGTTCGGGTGCAACATCAACCACCGCAGCAGGAGCTCCTTCGCCGACTGCTGCCACTGCCTCGTGTGGATTCGGGACTTCAGCGGCGGCCGCAACATGTTCCACAACAGTCGGATTTGCAACAGGGACGCTTGGGATCTCGTGAGTTTCATGTTTCACAACAGCTTGGTCAGGTGCGGCCACCATCGGAGGATCTGCTGGTAGAGCTTCCGTTTCCATGGCTTCGGGTGCAACAGCGGATGCCTCAGCCTTCAGTGCAGGTAGAACATTCGGGTCAGCAGCAACTCCGGAAGGGGATGGAAGCAGGAAAGCAGGTGACTTTGCATCGCCCGCAGCTGCAGAGTCGCGGCGCTCTCCCTTGTCAGACCCCTTCTCCCGCAGAGCCTATTATGAATCGAAGGTTTGCCATTGTGTCAGTTTCCATATCTCTGCTCCCAATTGTACATGCACAACCAGCACTTACTTGAGATGTCTTCTCGGCCGCTGTTACAAGAGAAAGTGAGTTCTAGAGTGAGCATCATCACATCATAACGAAAGTCCAAAAAGATGGATCCCCGTATGCTTGACGCACCTTTCTTGTCACCAACATCATACCTAAACATGGATATAATTGAACGACCACGCATGAGAACAATAAACAGTGCAACAGGTTTCTCTGAAACTTGTACGTGTACCCACCATTTTCCAGTCTTCTCGTCTTTCTTCAAAAACCGCCCAGGAGGGTCCCCATTCCGAATGGCCCTAACAATCACTCTCGCAACTGATGGTTTTTGAACCTTTGGTGCCCGAATATAATCTTGGGTAGCGAAAAAGAGAGAGGGTTGAGAGGAATCATCGCACGCAGCAATGTACTCGTTTCATCAGTCTTCCTGCACGATACCCACCAGGACGATGCAGAGCCACAATATCACGGAAGCGCTTATTCCCCCCTTAAATTGCAGCAGAAGTATACGCAAACACATCACAATGAGGTTCAAACACTTCAGATCAACGTAGTGGCACCACACAAAACCTTTCAAAACGTACTGTGGTGATTCGTGAGGCCTGTGGAAAGGAGATGGTCAAAACAAGTGAGTCACAGAAGAAATGAGTTGCTCAAGTCTTCTCCATTATCGACGCACCTCCGCGGCCGCATAGAATATCCCAATCGGTCACAAGGATGTTACCATCTTTGTCCACAGCATTTGGAGGGAGGCCCTCTGTCTTGAATTCGTCTTTCCCAGGGTCAGTCACGTTCACAGTCTTGGAAACATCAGATGCCAGCGTCTGGGTGGAAGCCGCGGGAGCTCCCACATAGTTGAGTTGGTTTGCCAACAACGGAGACACGATTGTAATACTGGGAGGTGTGTCACTTGTTTTCGCCCTCTTGCTTGGACCACCGACATCCAACTCTCCGTTTTTGCTGCGCATCGAATCCCTTTGCGCCGCCCGCTGCCTCTTCTCTGCATTCGATTTTTCTGTACACATATAAAATGAAGAAATAGAGGTCAACCTGCAAAGCTGCTACAGGAGAGCCACCATTACACCGCCTACACTTCATCGTACCTCGCAACGCCTGTGAAGCCTTTTCAGCAGCAACCTTTTCCACCAAAGACAAAGAAAGTTAGGACATCGTGTGGACTCCAGTAGGGAGCAACCCAGCTTGAACCATCTACAGAGTAGCCGCTCATACCTTGTTCCCAACATCATACCAGAGCCCGTCTTCGCCCTTCTTTAGAAATCTCCCCGGAGGAGATGCAGTCCGAATCGCACGAACAATCCTCCTTGCAACGTTTGGCTTGTCATTCTTTATTGCCTTGATATAGTCAGGCCTGCAGGGAGAACAATGATAAGGCTAATGAACAACGCCATGTACTGTGCCTTGACCCCTGCCAAGAGAGGCTTACCTGTGCAGCGTAATGACGTCGCGGAAGCGTTTGTTTCCTGAAGACGGAAGACGAAGAATGGAACCATAATGCTGAGTGTCAACAATTGGAATAGAAGAATGCAATGGGCAATCAGCGTGAAGCGACAAGCTCACCCGGGTGGCTGTGAAGTGGTCGTTGCAACGATGCAGAATGACAAAGTGAGCTATCGAACAGAGGGCATTGAATTCCACACTTTCTCTGCGCATATCCGAACCTGTTGGTCATGCCTGAATATTAGCAATGCGGTTGTGAGGTGTGCTTGCTTTTCGCCATATAAGCTCCGAATTGCGCTCGTCTTTTCACTTACCGCCTCGCCCGAAAAGCACTAAAACACGAGAAGAAATCAAAATAGTGCGGTGAGTGCAATGCCTCTTTCCAGTCCTTAGTTGAACAAGCAACATTGAATGAATGTCAAAACCTTACCGTCATGCGGTGTGGGCTTATCAACAGGATCTGAGGAAGGCTTTGGATCAATGTTGGCAGCCATGTCACCATTGCCATCAATAACAGGCCGAGAGGTCTGGCGGTGCAGGAAACACAACAATTGAGGGGCATGATTCCATGATTGCTGTTTGCGACGGGCGCTTCACTCACCAGTTCCTTCTCAAGCCACACTTCAAACACAAAGAGCAAAGTCACTTCTGCAGCATCGACCGGGTTCATTAGCGTGAATGCCTTCTGGTCATCTTTACTTGTGCACAAGATGAATCTTTTCTTCTCGTCTTTGTGCTCCCCCATCTCGTCGGGAATCGCTTCCGCTCCCTTGGCCATGAAAACTGAAAGGGCTGCTTCCAGACGCTTTGTAGGGCTCATATTGTCAGACTTGACATGTTGCGATGCTAAAGTGAACAGCGTCTTATTCCCGACTTGGCTGTCAAAAGACTTATCAGTTTCTCCATCGGTTCTCTGCAACATCACCACATCGATCGGTTTCATTGTTATCTGCTGAGATTCGGCTGCATCTTTTTGCTGGGCTAGAATGAACTCATGAAACTCTTTTCCCAGTGCTTTGAGCGACTCTGAATCGCCGCTGTCAGCACCAGCCAGGAAAGCAGCAAAGAGAGTTCTTTGGATACTTTGTCGAGCTTCGCTGTCGGTTAATTCTCTCCATTCCCCACCCTCCTTTTGCATGAATCTGCCACTCCCAACAAGGAAAGACCTGGGCACATCCTTCATTCCTGCGACCTCACGTCCCTTTCCCTTCTTTAGCAATTGAAAAAGTCGCTCCGTAAGCGTCTCAATTTCTGATTCTTCAGTGGGCATGCGCTCATGCGAAACCTCCCAAAGCAAACGGTGTAAAGCAATCAAATCCTGAAGCAAAAGATTCGCCTTGTGATCTCTGGAGTCCTCTCCCACAATGATATCGCGGTCCTTGGGGCCACTGGGGACCGCAGCATTTCCAAGCAAATCAAATTTTAAATTGGCCTTGGGAGGGGGGTGCTCCTCGTGTACTTGAATAGGAAGAGGCGGTGGTGGGGGTGGAGGGATGCTGGGAATTGCCATTGTGGCCACTGACTCAATGACCGGGGCAGGGGCCATCTCCGGTACCGTAGGAACGACAACAACTTCCGGCGCGGCTTCAGTTTGCATAGCTTCAGCAGGCACAGCTTCAGTCTGCATAGCCTCAGCAGTAGGCACGGTTTCAGTAGCCATAGGCACGGTTTCGGTAGGCACAGCCTCGTCGGTAGCCATAGGCACCGTAGGCACAGCCTCAGTACCAGTTGGCACGCCTTCAGTGCTATCTGCAGCCATTTCGGGCTGCGGCGGCTCAGGCTGTGGCGGCTCAGGCTCAACATAGTCATCTGCAGCCATTTCGGGCTGTGGCGGCGGCTCAGCATTGTTTTGAACAACAACTGCTTCAGCTTCCACTTGGGCGCCCGGATGGTGGGTGACATGATCATGGTGGACAACAACAGGAGCAGGGATTGCGGGCACTTCTTCGGGTGCCTCGGCAGGTGGGTCCACTGCCACATGCTCATTTTGGACTTGCTCTGCTGGAGCCACGGCTACCTCAACGACATCAGACGAAATGGCATCATTCGTCTCATTATTCGTCTCCATCTCTGTGGAATGAATCAATCCAGAGTGAATGAATGATGTGGGGATTGGAATGAACGCAACAGGACTCCTTCTTGCATTGATTGAAGACAATGGGATTGGAATGAGCAACGAGTGACTGGTGCTTTTTTGACCAACAAACTTTCAAAGAACCTCACGATGGCAAGTGGAAAATGTACTGCGAAACTCTACCAACAGGTGCACCGCAGGAGAAAGCGCGCAATAGCCTCTCACCAGACGTAGCGTAAGGCGATACGTAGAGAATTATCGGAGCCACAAAATACATTCAGGAAGCCAGAACGGCCAATTTCAACCTTAACTCTATTAGTTACCCAAGTGGTCGAGGCGCGAATGTGTCAACAATGACAATTATAACATACGTGTATATATCACACAAAATCCAACTGGACGTCGAAGCAACCACTATCTATCTAGCTACTAGTAGCGTATTACCATTCATCAACAGCAACTACAGAACCATGTCACACCGCAATAATCAAGGAGCCGTCATTGCCACCATTCTCAACACCATGTCCTCTAAGGAAGGGGAGTATCGCCAGGGTGTCAAGCAGAACCATCAGTTGTCGAAATCAATCGGTGAACGCCTGGCCAAAGATGGACCACTCGAAGAGATTTTGATGGCATTGAACAACAACAAAGGTGGAGGTGAAGAAATTGTCCCTCCTGGCGAAATCAAGAGCTTCCTTTCCGAGCAGCAAGGGCGGCTCAAGGCACTTGCCGAACGAAACAGCCTGCGAAACGAGAAAATTGGGTTCTTTCTCGGAGCCATCAATCAACTCCAACAAGGTTTCGAAACTGACAATGCGCATGACCAGGATGTAGACTATTCCTCCAACATTGAAAACTTTATGAAAGGAGAAATTCAACAAATGGAATCCAGCAACAGGGACCTTCAGGGATCCAAATTTTGTAAAGAGATTCGCGCCACTTTAGGAGAAAATGAGGGCACTGCTGGTGAAGATGACATTGAGGTTGTGCGAAACAATGAAGAGAATATCGGCAATTACAAGTGCTGCATCACGGCCCAGTGGATGGAAGATCCTGTCACCAGTACAACATGTCAACATTCCTATTCTCGTAAAGGAATCTTGAGCTACATCAGGAGCAAGGGAGGACAGTGTCCTTGCCCATTTCCTGGCTGTAGTCAAATCGTGACCCAAAATGTCCTGGAAGACGATGCTGGAATGGCACGAAAGGTCAAGCGAAATAGGCGCCGAGTGGAAGCGGAAGAGGAGCAGAAGAAGCAATCTCAGGCTTTGGATATGGATGAGGACGATGAAGATTGAACTGCTGTCGTTACAACTGAGATGAAAATTCCTTTATTGGAATAGACATGAAGCGGGGGGAGTCAAGGTTCTTCTTCTATATAGGCTGCCCGTTTGCTTATAGTTTGGTGTGTAATCTCTAAATGGCAAATCCTGACTTTTGTAGTACAATAAACCAGCAAATAATATTACATGCGGTTTCATTCAATACTGTCGTACAATATATTGACTCGACTCCAAGCAAAGGTCAACAACGTCGAATTAAAGATCTCTTATTACTGGATTTCCCTGGCTTCAATCGATTGCATGCATTATCTATCTATATATGTATCAGCTAGATCTTGCTTTTTGAGCTTTTCAGGGACAGCAGGAACCGCTTTGCCCTTTCTTGTTTGGAACCTTTTGATTGGATTCCTTGTATTTGTAGATTGCAATGGCTTGTTTCATCCTTGAGTTGTTGAATTTTCCTCATTTGCTTCAATTTCTCTTTCTGCAGAGCATGGCACTTCTCGTGAAGGCTTCGAAAATCACGCACTAAGCGAATGTTCTTCACAATCAAATCATCTTGTTGATGCAATTTTTCTTGAACAGCAGAGCTCCACTCCACCAAACGTTGCTCATCCTCTTCTCCTTCCACGCCTCGCTTTAATGAGCGGATTTGATCTTGGACTTGCTGGTCAAAAATGTGGCAGGGGTAGAGAATTTCTGAGCAATTAGCCTTGTCATCAGAAGATTCATCAGTGCCAGTAGTCTGTCGGCTTCTCTTGCGCAGCGAGCTGCCCCTTCCTTTCTGGTGTTTTCTCTTGGTTCTTGAAGGTTCCTCCTCATCCATGCTGATGCCAATGCTTGGGTGTCCTCCCAAGGTACCCGTACCGCTTCCGGTTCTTAAAGCCGTCGTATTCAGCACCTCAATTCTAGATATCTAGCCAGAAACAGCCCTTATGAATGTATAGACGGCACAGTAGTTGCTTGAAGAGTAGCACAGACAGGCTGCCGTACGGTAGGGAGATGATGGTTGCTAAAAGGCGCAGAGTAACAGTTGGATATAGGCGGTAAGAAACCCGAATTGGTGGCAAAAAAATGATATGTCGTGGTAACATTATTGCTACAACGGATTGGTGTTGTAGTTTTTAATTAACGATGTATCCTAGAGTCTGACCTTCGACGGGCCCATGGTGTCAAGTTCGCTCGATACAGCACGGAGAAGAAAGAATAAACTGTAATAGCCAAGGCAGTTATAGGATGGCCAACAAAACTTGCTGTGCTTAGAGCTAGAAGGCCATGGGTGGACCGCTGGAAAGCCCTTGGTCTGCTCTTGCTCGTGCGGCCCTTGCCTGCCATGTTTTAGTGGGTTGTCGGAAGAAGTCAACACTGTTTACCATGGAGTGTCGAAATGAGATGTGTCAAAGTGAAGTGAGAGATGCTCAACAGGCACAGGATAACAAGTGGCAGAGTCACCAGCAATGGATAGAGCATACCCAACTTACCCTTGCGACATACTCGCATTGTCATTGGGGTAGCCTTGCTTGCCAAGATAATAGATCGGCAGTATAGCAGGTGCGAAGATTGTTGTTGTTTCTGTTGGCCCCTTTCTGCTTGCCAGAACTGGTTGCTATTTCGCTGCTTTTGGAGATGCTATGCTTGCTCGCAATGGAATCCTGGAAATGAGATCACCATTTTCGTCAATATTTGTTGGTAGGAAACGGCAAAGATGACGGATCTTTACTCTGATATCTATGATGATGCTTCGCCTGATTTCTTGACTGACCTGTTTCTGAAGACCGGACGAAGGACCACA